GCCCTTAAGGCTAGGGTGCTTGGGGAGCACCCATTATACCGGGTGACCACAGGAGTCCGGGAGAACTGCGGGGACAGAGGTCTTGAGTAGCCGTGCCCAGGGAGTCATAGGCAGCCTCCCAAACATATATATATTCCAGCAAGACGTGGCGGGCGAGAATTAGAGGGTGCCTTGGGCTGGCCTGACACGGAGCGAGGGACCTTAAGGAGCACACGGCCCTCCGCGAGGACCCCGCCGTGACAAGCACTTACATGAACCTGATTTCCATGGAAAACCTTTATAAAAATAGGGAAATTAGTTTCTGAGAATGCACCAGTATCCATTTAAATGGAATATTTATGAATTTTTGTATGAATGTTGAAAGCACAAATTCAGCTGTCCATTGTGACTCAATTCAGATCAATAACTGAATTTCTACTATGTGCAGCTCCTACTATCATTATCTGATTCTGACTCCACTAATGCCTCCACTCAGAAATCATCTACTATTGTGCATCCAGGAAGCCTGAATCATTTTAAAAGGAACTGCTAGTTACCATACATTCATAACCAAACCAGCAATGTGAGGGTATTGCCATTTTGTCCATTATGGAGATGTCTGTGTGACAATAAATTGTTCTGCAGTTATAAAACATTGTGTATTTGGTTGATTTACTGTGAGGAATGTCCATACTTGCTTTGACTTTAATCCCACTGCAGTTCCAAAATTCAAATACAATATTCATGATCTACTCATATATATGAAAAAACTGCTTTCTGCTTTGCTTTAAATGGTATTTCTAGTGAGGAAGAAACCATACCAGAAAAAAATGGACTGTGTAAGCTTTAACTTTGTTCATCTGATAATTCACTATCAGACCTTTGGGAAGTGCTTTTTCATTCAAGGAGAAAGGTGAAAGGTTAAGTATGAGCAACAAGGGGCAAATGCAATCGGTAACGTCATACATAGCTAATTGTATTAAATGGGTGTCCTGCTCCTTCAGAGTTATTACTGCTGCTTTTGTCCTCAAGGCAGTGTGGTAAATTCATGATTGTTTTAACACAAAATGTCATCAAAGATCAAAAGTGAAATTACAGTTCTGAGCACTGTGAAGTGATGATGGAAGTGCTGACACTTTAGTATCATCTGTCCGAATCAATAAAGCAGATTGAATGACATATTCTCACTGAATTAGTTATGTGCAGGTTTTTAGCCAAAAAAAGAGAGGAGAAGGGGGAAAAAAACCTCCACAAAAGATGCTGAGAATACATGCAGTAGGCTTTTATAACCACAGTATCAAAGACTGTTAAAGGAACCTTCACAAAACTGGGGATTTTAAAACATCTCTGCAACCACAAGCGCATGCAAGAAGAATCTAAAAAATGTATTTCTTTGTCCAGGTGTAGGTAAGAAAAATGGAGACAAAGTGGGAAGGAGTCACTCAATTTGCTAAGCCCTCTGTCAGTGACAAAATGCACATACAAAAGAAATACTGAGGCACGACTCCCAAAAGATGGTGGGATGCATTGCTTTAGGGCAGGGGCAGGCAATTATTTCGGGTGAAGGGTCGCTTACTATGTTTTGGCAAGCCATCAAGGGCCACATGACAGGCAGTCAGGGGCAGAAAAATATTAATTTTCTAAAATTTTTAGGGTCCTCGCAGGCCAGATAGAATGGCCTGGTGAGTTGCATCTGGCCTGTGGGCCACATTTTGCCCACCCCTGCTTTAGGGTTACTGCACTCTCTTAACTTGGCTTTAGGACTCAGCCGTTCTGATATCTGTAGTGTAAGAGTGATGCTGTAGCTCTGATGGTCCAAAAATTATGTGAGAGGCAAGGACTTCTTAGGGTGAGAGCTTTTACCGGACCAACTATGTAGTTGGAATAAAGTTAGACAAGCTTATGAATGTAAGACAGTCTTCCTCAGAGAATATTCAGAGACCAAAGGAAGAATGGCTTACATTAGAAAGCTTGTCTAACTTTATCCCAACTACATAGTTGGTTCAATAAAAGATCTCACCCTAAGCAACCCTTGCTTTTCTGAGTTCTGTCTTCTGTGATGAAGCAATGCGTAAGTCATCAAGAGAGGTGGCAGCATGATGGAGTAATCAGGGGCAGTTGAAAAGGGAAGGAGGAAGCACTGTGGCAGAGGAGAGCTAGAGGCCATTTCCCCCCACAGTACTTTGACATGTTGGGGGCCCTGATGGTGACTTGGACATCCCCTGTGGCAGGCTGGTTGCCCTGTGTACATGCTCTGCACTACAGAGAGCTGGGAGAAGGATGTGTAGAAATGGGAAAAGCCTGACGCCAGGCAGGAGGCATCTCTGCCTCTCAGCCCCAAGCACTGGGACTGGGCAACCTCGATGTGCCAGCCCCCAGGTGCTCCTCACAGAAGGCCTTAGCGCCCGTGTTCTGTCACAATAGGATGTTCTGTCACAGTAATTCCCTAGCAACCATGCCATGGCCCCCAGCGAAGCAGAGGATGCAGGTGGGTAGCGCCGTAGGGCTGTGGGGTGGGTGGGCAGGGGCTGTGGATGTGCGGGGTGCTGCAATCCAACTCCCAGCTGCCTCAGTAGTGAAGCAGGATAAGGCCCCAGTGCAGGTCCCAGGGGATGACCGGGGCACATCTGACAGCCCCCTTGACACCCCATCCTGTGCCTGCTATGACTTGGGGTCCATGGATCTCCTGCCCCTCCCCACCTTTTGGTGCGGGGAGAGGAATACAC